GCATCTAGACAACCATTGTGAACGGTCATCGGGGGGCCGATGAGGATACTTCTTACTAACGAGTAATGGGCTATCCTCTCTTAGAGATGCATCCAGTAGTGCATCGGTGAGCATTCGTCGCATCTGAGTCATCCTGCTCAAGCTGGAAGTACCAACACGGCTACGTGCTGCATATGCTTCATTTCCTCCTCTTCCTTCAACTGGTCAGCGTACCCCAATAACACTGCAAGGGCTGCAAAGTAAGCATGCTCGTGGGTATAGGAATCAATAGGAGATAGTTTCATGAACTGAACATCTCGTATAATAGTGAAGTCACCGTTCCTGAAGAACTGCCAGGTGGGGGGGAGGGGGCGGAATCCTGCGTATATGCAGAAGTCTACTCGAAACGTCTGACAGTAGCAGTTTTCTTTTTCCTATTCACTGCAGTTATCTGTACAATCTGTGGTGAACCACCAGCCTCCTGTGGTGAGTAATGAACCTGATGATAGAGTCGTGATAACATGGCGGCCACGAGGCCTTGAGTCGTACCATAGTGTTGACGGCAGATAGGTCACCAGATGCTAGCTTATCAGCTAGGCTGTGTAGAAGGTTCTCCTCATTGGATACACCATCATCACCGAAGCCACCAAGCCAATGATTAAGGAAGGGTCTACAAGGCCTACGCTAGGGCCTACTGTGATGTTAGAAGGCTTATACCTGAGTATCCTAGCCAGACCACTACTCATGAGCCGGTGGGGTAAGTCTAATATGTCTTGTGGAATACCCTTGTGTAGTAGGAACATCGACACATCATTAGTGAAGTTATTGCAGTTGTTGGTCATAACATCATAGCTCTCCGGAGTGTACTCCAAGGACAGCCTTTCCACTAGCACCTAAGAAGGATGGTACTCCTTGTGTGGGCCAGTAATGGCTCTCACATTATAGAGTTCCCGCTGAGTATGGAGGGTGTAGCCGAGTTGGATACGCTTGATAGGTGTTCCAAAGGGTGTAGTCTCCGGTACACTACGGAATACCTGCGATAGACCTAGTGATGATTATGATGATGGGGATGACAATGGTCGGCTCACATTGCCACCATACCACCATTCCTTATTGAATGCGACTATGCTCGTATGCCAAATACCCTCAACTCTATGGCCGAAGAGTATTGGGCCCAAGGTCCTAGAGGCACCGTTGGATATATCATAACTGATATCATCATAGGAATATGTAGCAGTGATGTGATCCTACAATAATAACTC